GATGACGCGCAGCACGCGCTCGAAACGTGCCCGCGTTGGGAGCACTCGCGGCGAGATCTCGTCGCGGTGCTGGGGAGAAACCTCTCCCTGCGGGCTGTCGTCGCCCGCATGTTAGAGGATCAGGGCTCGTGGGAGGCCATGGCCAGGTTTTGTGACCTGGTAATGGCGTCCCGTGAGGCTGAGGAGCGTGAAAGGGAGTGGGATCCCTCTTCAGCACCTCAGCGCAGAAGGCGGGATGGCCGGCGCGGGCGTGAAGCTCCCGCTCAGCCCCCGTAGGGACTGTCAGGTGGCGGGTGCGGGGGCGCCCGGTACTCGACTGTCGGTCCGGTGGTGGGGCGGTGCAAGGTGGCTCCTGTGCGCCGCTCACGGTGTATCTCCCGAAATGACGTCCTTCGGGATTTTCCCGGAGATGAAATCCCGTCTTATCATCAGGACGGGTACCGGCGAAGGCGGACTTTCGGCGCGCACTGCGGTACCGTAGGTCTGGTGTAGCCGGTGTGGTGGAGCTCGATGGGGTTTAGTCGGTAGTCGTTCTGCGGGGCAAGTGCTTCGCGCGCCTTTTTCAAGGCGTAGTCTCTTGCGAGGGATTCGGGGAGGTGGAGGACCTTCTCGTCCCCCTCTTCCTCTCAGGAGGCGCCGGAGTCCGACATAACCCGGTTCGTTACCCCCCGGACCGGGTATCCGTAAATGGATTCCACAGCGTTAAAAAAAAAAAAAAAAATGCAACCTGAAGATTTCCAGAAAATCTTAATAGCTCCAGCTGTATTTACATACATACACATATTTAAATATATACATATACATATCGACGCTTCAAGGCAAACGTGACTAAGCGACAATAACTGCTTTGTACATAAATGATAGGCAATAACCATATTCGATGCGCAAAAGAAAGATCTAAAGAATATATTAAGATTTTGATTAACGTTGAATATACGCCTTAAATCGTTTGAGACCACTGCTCTATCCATTTTTAGACATTTACCTTCCGGACTGAAGCACAGGTTAACCTCGAGTCAGAATTAAATTTACTGACCATAATCTGGACTTATAACACTGATATAAAAAAGAACGCCTTGCAACAATTAGCTTTTTGGATTTTTTTAGTAATACATTACTTGGTGTTAGCCGTAGAGTTGTGCAGGTGGCTGCTATTAATGAAATGATCCATGCGCACTGGGAATTTAATTACATAAAACACATTTCTTTTGAGTTATGCTTTCCTGGTACAACGTTGCATCGTCATTTACAACGAAATTTGAATAGAAGAAAATATAGAATAATGGAGTATGAGTTTCACGGTAGCTTATTTGATGATAGAGTGCTAACGATTCTGCGAAGGAGCCATCACAAATTCCTCGTTTTTTTTCCCACACATTTTTTTTCTTCCCAGCCACGCTTGTAACAGCTGTAACTACTAATCTTTATGATGCGCTGTGTCTTGCTGAAGGGACCATTCTTGTTCATAGAGCATAATGATTCTAAAAAACTCTCCCGTGATATTCCAGACCGTTTTTTTATAACCTTTTCATGAAAATATGTCTGAAGCACTCCTTCACAGCTAAAAATTTTGTTGTGTCGGTACACCTTGCTTACTCTACCGACTAACTGAAAAGTTTCTATAGAGCTTTGAGCGTAAACAAGGTCACTCGGTACTACTGGAGGTAGGACGTCTTGTCTTAAAATTGACATGCACCACCAATTTATTTGCTTTAAGTTACACACGCATCAACTTATTAAGCTGATGGTTTGGTTAAAATATACTACTTGCGGTAGGTCGTAGTAGTAGGGCACTATATTTTAAGGCCCTGACGATGCAAGCCACAGTCCAGAAAGTGCACTGCGCTGGAACCGATGTACCTGCTTCGGCTGCGATGCCAACTTAAGCGGGACCACTGCTCGTGATCACTTGTTGAGCTATGGCCGTCAACGATAATGAGGCGCTAATAGTAGTTATATCATGAAGATCATGGTTGTTCGGGGTCACAGATTTAGTAAACGACAAAGGGAAAAACTTCCATCGAGCGACTTACGCACTGACGATCCGTACTTTTTAGTGCGAAACTTGTATATATCAAGCACATTTTGACAAGCTCGTTAGCACGATTCCGAATTGTTCAATTCACTAAGGGTAACTATAAAATATTTTAAAACGACGATGATTACTAGCAAAATATAATACGCAATCTTCTATTTTATATTAAATTTTAAAAACAATGTCAATTTTCGATTCAGCTGTATATAACAAATAAAATAGTCACTCTATGGAAGGATTAAAGAAAAAGTACGTGTGCAACTTGGTGCACGTGACAGAAGTGTAACTTCTTTTACGGTGGGTAGTATTGTGGTTTTCTTCATTTTTCATCCTTAAATGAAATTTCTCTTGTAATAGGGAATGTTGTGTATGGGATAAAAATAAGTAAAATAGATTAAATTAAAAATCAAATATAAGATAGTTAATATGTTACTGCCATCTACAAAGTCAATGAGAAACAACAAGCCATCTAGTGATCGACGTCCGTAAATGGAATGTGTTTATGAGAAACGACCTAGCTCGCTTTCTCCCTCTCTCCACGTTCGAGTGGTTTGCGAGACGCTCTGTCTATTTTCTCACTCTCGCTCGTACTAAATTACATATTTTCTCCCTAGCCGTAACGAATCTGTTGCGAGTTATATTTTACTATCAACGCACCTAAAGAAGTTTCACTTCAACAATTTCTGATGAATAAAAATTAACAAAAATTTTATTCACTCCACGATGAATAAATAACATACTCGTATAATAAAAAAATATTTCATAATTATTGATAGTTTTTACAGATTGTACGCAGTTTGGTTTGTAACTTTTTGTCACCGATCAATTATTTTGCCTTTCAGTTTGTAGATCGCGTTAGTTTGTACTTTGGTGAACTTAAGCGTATATTCAAGTTGTTAAATCTGAGAACTTTGGAAACCATTTAAAGACATGGCAATCAAATATTTAAACGGTCTCGCGAAATATTTGCTACTAGCTCTTAGATTACAATGTGTTGGCTTTGATTGGTTACATCAACAGATCACAATTGGCTACGATTGAATAAACGTAGTAGATATGTGGATAACCACTCCTCTTATACACCACTTCAGATTCATATTGTCCTAGTATAAATGTCTACCATTGCTGTTTGGAAGCAACTAGGTATACATATATGTATATCTAAGAAACATATCAGAAATACGTTTATATGTCACATGACTAGTTAAGCGTCTCATGGGCTTGAAAGTTATTAAAATAACTTTATTAGTTAGTTTCGTAACTACAATAATAATTACTTCTATATTAATTGTCTTCAATGTCTCCTGCTGTTGGCAAATTGATAAAAATATAATTTCATCTCTACACCTCTGGGTGCACGCTAAAGAAGCTGTTTAAATGATGAGCTCATTACCAGGATTTATCATCATTGAGCACTATTTTGCTTTTAGAAATATCTAAGCACATAATAGATAACAGAACACTCCTAAGCGTGTAATCTATCAATGAGAAACTATATAAGACCGCGAAGTGATTTCATCGTCGATTTCTCTCTCCTTTCGCAAGCTATAGCTACTTTATATACAAATATTGTTTTAAAATTTATGGAGAAAAATTGAAGAGCTCTAAATTAAATGTTAAAAAGAATTTGTCACGTGGTACAATTCTTACGTCTGCACTCTTCGAATGTACCTCCCACAAACGTTGACATGCGCTGTTAATCGAATTTGGTTTGGAAGCGATTTAATACTTTACCTGGCTATAAATAAGATCGTTTGGCTCGTATCGGGTAGTTTTAACCAACTTCTCGTGAATCTGCTATCCTAGTACAGTTGCGGGAAAATTCACCTGCTGCGTAAATTTTTTACACACAGAAAGAAGAACGAAACGCATCTTATGAAATAAAAAAATAAAATAAAATGATGACTGCCTCGTTTTTTTTTTTAATTTAAATTAGTAACGAGTTCTTTTATTTGGACAATAAGTTCTCGTCAACAAAGTAAATGACGTGAATTTTCAATCTCGCCTATTTTGCCAAAATTCAGTTCTGACTTAAAGTTTCCACCGTTCATGATGGAAGGTGATCACCATCACTTATGAACACTGACATCGCAAGGAAACCTACTTTTTAGACGGGCACAGATACTCTATCATGTAAAAATTTCTGACAAACAAGGTATTTACGGGAATATCTCGTGGGTAAGTGTTTTAAAAACAACAGCGGTAGGCAGCGGCTTGGCTCTGACCCTGGCATTAATGCACGTCCCCGGGCGACGGTAACCACTGAACCACTGACCAGGTGAACCGTATGCTCGTCTGCCGACAAGGGCAATAAAAAAACCAAAATGACTTCCATCGGTAGTTAGGTAAAGGCAGCGTAGCCATTCGGTAAGACGAGGCGACCTTGATAATTCCAGCGATTTTGTTTCCTTGGATTTCACAAGCAATTAACTTGAAGACAATTGGCATTATGCAGATATAATTTACAAGTAGATCTAATATGAATCGCTGTATGAGTCGAAGTAATGATTGAATGAAAATACGAACTTTAAAACGGCTTCTGCGCCTTATGATCTTTGTTGTAAGCGGTTTAGTATTTTGCATTAGAGGTAAATGAATGAAAACTAATGTGCCCTCTTATCTTGCTTCCTTTAACACGCTTGTTTTAGCTTGGTATGTATAATGTGTATGAAGGTATAGATGAATGGATGACCACATAATATAAAAAGGGCATTTTCTTGGTCCTTTTCGTGCATGAATTATACGGAAAATTGTTCGTTGATAGGCTTAATGTTACCTAACAAAATTAAAAACAAAAATTTAAAGTCGAGTAAAAGAAAACAAAATTGGAATGCATATTTCAAATTTAATAAATTGTTCAAGGGAAATAAATATTCAAACGACAATACGAGTTCATAAGGTTCATTTGCAAACATTTAATTACTGCTTTTCAGTTCGATAATTGTTTTTTTTTTATTTGTTACAGGTGCTCAGAAGAAACCAATTTTTCTTCTCCACACCGCTTTGATGATACCGAATGTTTCGGTTGCTCCGACGTTAGACGAAATACAAGAAGTATTAGTTTTAGCAGGAAAACACATTTCCGGCCTGTCTAAAGGAGTCGCTCAATGGAGTGGAGGGAAAACATCAAGGGTATGAAATTAGTTGTATACAGCTTATTAATCAGTTCGTATTCGAAATATAGACATTTTTAATTTCGTTTTGGTGTCTTTAAATTCCTATTGAGTAAAAAAAAAAGTTTTTTGTTTGAACTGAATATGTCTAGAAGATTCAATGTACTCGCAATCGAAGTTTGTACATTATTCTTTGATTGACCAGGACAAGTCAGTTAAAATGGATTTTTCAAATACAATCAAATCATTGGTTGTGAAGTTTCAATTTATTTCATTATTTTTTTAACATTTTTTTTGCAATAAATATTTTGTATTCACGTGTTTCATAAAACTCAGTCATTTTATATGTACATACATATTATGTTACTTACAATTGTACTTATGATGAACCAGTAAATATTAAAAATAATCGTATAAACATCTAAAATCTTTTTCATTCTAAGTTATATTCTTATATTACCAATCGACTCGGAGGAATATTCAAAATTTCCTCTTTTAGGAAGCTACGATTGAATCAGCAGTAAAATTTCACTCGAACTGAAATTATAAGAAAAATAACTAATACAAATTCTTGTTTACCACTTTCTAATAATATTTTGTACTTGAATATAATTAAAAGGGTTGCGTTCTAAGACGGTACATACATTTAAATTGAGATCATTTTAATTATACCATTGTTTTTAATATAACAATTGCATTTGTTTCTTTGTTGTGTTGTCAACTGTTTTGTGTTACGTCTACTTGTTCACCTCGCACATGTGCATTCGACTGTGTTCGCGTCTGCATCCCACCAAATGTGCTTCTACACTTGAACCTTTGTATGATTTGCCACGCAATCGGTGTCGCTTCTTAAATCCCGGCTTTTCCCACGACGCGTGGTGCCCAAACCGAACACACTCCCCTCCGTTATGTTTTGCGTGCCCCTTCCCGCATGCGTGTACAGGTGAGCTGGAAGAAAATAGCCGGTCCTCATTCGAACCAGCTGATAGACGTTGTCACGAAGCTTGACGAACAGGTCCAATCCGGAACTCCCATGAACATGAACAAGCCAATGAAGCTGATCGATTCGACGAAGGCCAGGAGAAAAAAGCACTACCGCCTTGAATCCGAGGAGAAGCCAGTGTTTCCGTTCCAACAGAAGAATTTTTACAGTCACGTGATGGAAAACAAAGAGATAATCAAAACACTATCGTTGCTGTCAATGTGCACGCAGAATATTAAGACGGTATTTTTTTTGTTTCAATAGATATTGTAATAATAAAATACCATATTATAGTATTATTTGACACGCCCCGATACGGAATAATATAATCCATAAATATAAAAATCGATGTATGTGTTTATGTCTCCTAAACTCTAAAATTATTACGATGAATTTTTTTAGAAAATCTTCAGATTATCTTACCGGGTGATCCTCGTAATTAGTAGCGACTGAATCGAAGTCATACGAAATATTGACCGGCAAAGCGGACCGGGATAAATTAGTTTAATAATAATACTTCACAGGTACATACACATTAATGGCAAATTGTTACAAAAACTGTAACAATTCGAAACATGTTTATCAATTTAATGTAAGCCTTCAGTTTCGATTTCATTTGAAAAATAGATTAAAGACACGTTGTTGTACGGTTGACACAAGCTCGGGGTTGACCGAATACTGTGGTTAAAGTGTCTTACAGACAACATGCATGGCTCTACTGAATAACTTTAAGATCATAATTCGAAACCTTAAAGTTCACTAAATCAAGAGCAATTCATTTAAGATGGATACGTCGTCATATGCTTTCTCTTTTGCCCTTTCGTTCACTATGAAACTTTCCCTAGGATTATGGTCTCCTGGTGTCCGATGCAACATTTACACCGACGCGATATCAGCATATGATTGGTAGGAGGGACAGCTACTGAAAGTCCGATCAGAATCAGTACAAAAGTTTTGAATGCTAATCTGAACAAACAAAAAGACAGGCAGACAAATTTAAATAGTGTATTTTCACTACAAGTTAACTGCAAATAAACTAAATGCTTTAAAAATGTCCTTATCCGTAATAACACGACAGATCCTTGAATTTTTTTGCATGTACCTACACTGTAATAAGCAAATGTCTACTATGTGTTAAATGATAAATTTCGTTGCATATATGGGGGAACTAGCTCATTGTCCAAATGATATTAAGTGATTACCGGAGCGAGCAAAGACCTTTTTTTTATTGCTTAGATGGCTGGACGAGCTCACAGCCCACCTGATGTTAAATGGTTACCGGAGCCCATAGACATCTACAACGTAAATACCGCCACCCACCTTGAGATATAACTTCTAAGGTCTAGTTACAATGGCTGTCCCACCCTTTAAACCGAAACGCATTACTGCTTCACGGCAGAAATAGGCGGGGGCGGTGATATCGGTGCGGGCACACAAAACGCCCTACCATCAGCAGATCATCTCTAATTAATATTCACTGAACAGGAATTGAATACATTAGTTAAGCGATGGCGTCCCTACCATTATTTGTGGAAATGTGAGAAGACACTACGGCAGCTGCTAGCTTGGAACTTAAATGATTTCGAATTAGCACTGAAAAGGCACAGCGAATTAGAATCAAAATTAGCAACAGAGCCTGACCTGCTTATTATTGGTAATTGTCTTGCCGTTTCTACAGAAAAACTGAAATTGGGATTAAACACGGAGCTTAAAAGTAAGTCACATATATCTCTATTTCTATATATAATATTTTCCAAGTCTTCTGTACGAATGTCATTGATTTTTTTTTTCTAAAAAGCTGTACCGAGTTTGATATTTTTGTATTTATAGGCATGAGTTTGCAGTGACTTTTAAATTGTGTAGTGTTGTTTTTATTTATTAATTTAAATATATGTGTTCTATTTTTTGGGAAACTATATGTCTTTAGCCATAACTAAGAATAGGAACGAATACAATCTAGCACATTTTAATAAATTATATATTATAGATTGTAAATTCAAAATCTCCTCCTACTTAGTTAAGTTCAAAATAATGTTCTTTTTTATTTTTTAAACTAAATCGTACAAGTCGTACCTAGATCTAATCTGGATTGCAATCTAAATAGTATGTGCACTCAGCAAATCCATATTAAAGTGCATAGCTTTGACTATTGAAAACACAATTCAAATTATAAATATTGATAACTAGCCATTGTTAAATAGGATATCCTTCACACATCTGACAAATCCCCAGAGTCTTTATTAACATTTTGCAGATGGAACCCATAGAATTAGCCAGGCGATGCGTAAAAAATACAAACGGGAGATGGACTATGTCTATGCTATTATGAACGATTTGGAACGGAAATTGGAACGCCCTATCCGTGATCTCGATGACGTCAGAACCGTCATGGAAACTCTCAAAAAAATACGAGAGCAAGAAGTTGATATGGAATTAAAAATTGACCCCGTTGAGGTGATTATAATAATTTAATTTATATGTTTTTAACATTAGTTATCTATACTAATATATAAATCTACAGTGGTTTTTACGGATGTTCCGTTATAACTACTGAACCATGCATCCGATTGACTTGAAACTTGGTATCGATGTAGAAAATACATGTACTTAATGGATAGGTTAATATTTATATGGGTGTTGGACTCCCCAATAATAATGATAATAAATAATAATAATACTAATTTTAAATGCCCAGCGAAGCGGACGAGTACGGCTAGTAACTTTATAAAATTGACGTTAAATAAATTAACGTTGGTTACAGGAAGCGTTTAACGTTATAACTCGTTACGAGCTGCCAGTTAGTAAAGAAGATTTGGAGCAAGTTGATAATCTTCGATACACTTGGCAACAGCTGCAGGCGACGGCACTCGCTTCTCATGTGCAGCTGTTGAAGATGCAACCGCAGTTTGAAGAGGATTTGAAAAACAATTTGGACAAATTTAGGGATGACAACGCCGAATACTGTCACGAGTATAGACACGCTGGACCGATGCAGCCAGGGTTGACCCCACGAGAAGCATCCGATAGATTGATACTTTTTCAAGTACTTACTCTATATTTGTGTACTTTTAAATTGAAATGAGCGTGTCTTTGTTCTTATTAAAATATTCCAACAGAATCGGTTCGACGGAATGTGGCGAAAGCTTCAGACCTACCAGAACGGTGAAGAGCTTTTTGGTCTTCCCCATACAGAATACCCTGAATTAGCCCAAATAAGAAAGGAACTGAACTTACTCCAGAAGCTGTATAAGCTTTACAACGACGTTATTGACAGGGTCAGTAGTTACTACGACATACCCTGGGGAGAAGTTAATATTGAAGAGATCAACAATGAACTGATGGAGTTTCAGAACAGATGCCGAAAGTTGCCGAAAGGGTAATTTATAAGTTTTATTAATTTCTTCTAATTTCTATTAAGAGTTCTTCTTTTTTGGTGCATCGACTAGTGAACTAGTTCATAGCCCACCTGGTGTTAAATGAATATAGGAGCTTGTAAACGCCACAACCCTAATTAAGATATGAGGTCTAAATTTCAATTGTATAGTTTAGCGGTTATCTCCCGCTCTAGGTTTAAATATGTTTTTGCGCAGTAAAACTATTCGATATAATGTGCTACTTTTTCAGTCTCAAAGAGTGGCCGGCATTCTTTGCCCTTAAGAAGACCATCGACGATTTCAACGATATGTGTCCTCTCCTTGAGCTGATGGCCAACAAAGCTATGAAGCCTCGCCATTGGCAGAGGATCATGGAGGTCACGAAATACGTTTTTGAGTTAGACAACGAGGACTTCTGCTTGAAAAATATACTAGAAGCACCCCTGCTGCAGAACAAGGAGGATATCGAGGTAAGTAGTAGAACTGAGGCTTTAAACAATCGATTCACTTATGACATCGTGCATAAGTACTAAATTCAGTTTTTAATAATAATATTAGGTACCAGAAAAACAGGCACGGACCCGTAGAATTTGAATTTGGTTTAAAAATTAAAAATAAATTCAAATTTTAAGAAGCGAGTGTCGAAATCTTTTCGTCTATGTTACATATCTACACCGTAATAACGTTCGTTTTTCTCTACCTATACTGATAGTCTTGAGAGGCTATATCAGCGTTACCTGAGCGTGTAGGTGAGCTCTCGGACTTGAAACCGGAGATGTTGCTAACACTGGTCCTAGCAAGAGCAGTGCTTCGCAGAATCTACCGCTGGATTAGAAACGCGACCCACTGAGAAGATCCGAGAAACTCAGTGGCCTGTGTCTGGCGGTTAATTAACTCGCTGAGCCTAACGAGCACTACACGATTCTCCGATCCCCCCGAGATCAGAACCTGGTAGGATAAGGGGACTACTGCGGTCAAGCCTGCAACAAAACGTACGGTTTGTACGAATCTTTTGTAATCATAGCGATACGACAGAACCTGTGACATATCTTGTGAAAAACATTCATAGTACAGCCGATTTACTGAGATTTCGAGATTATCGAAGTCGTTATTGAATTCAAGCCACAAAGCTACATTACAGGTAACCAAATAAACATATCGACGAAAAAATTTGAGGAAGTTTGTAATATGTTTCATGTTTTCATAGGTGTTTTTAAACGGTTTTATTAAATTTCAACTCTAAAAGGTTATTAAACTGTGTATTTTAAGCTGAGAATCGCGTAATCTTTTAATCTAAGTAATACTAATTTCCATAATCGAATACTAGTGTGGAAGTTAACGACAAAAGGGAAGATCTTCCGCTGAGCGGGTGATATTGCTCGGTAGACCGACAGTCCGAATGTTGTTGTTCGGAACTTGTATACATGCAAGCTTATCTTGAAAATATCGTAGGGGAGATATTTGACAGATGCCTGACATCTGTCAAATATCTTATATGTATGATGGCTACCCGGCACACTAGTGTTTAAGGTATTTTTTTATAGTTTGGCAATAAATCAGGCGATTATAGACTTTGATGACCGCTTAACGCACGGTGAGCCTGCCGTCTCGTGTATCTAATTGTGGTAAAATATAAAACATGAAAAATTGGGTAAGCGTGTGTCGGAAAGTACAGTGATCAAATCGATTCCGTAGTTATGGATGAAAGCTAGAAAAAAATACAAAGTTAAAATGCTCGCTATATTTTTGATTGTTCTGTTTATGAAAAAATTACCGGGAAACCTCCATCACGCTTAAAAAATCCTATGGATTTAAGGACCGGGACCTCCACATTTCAGAATTCAAATGTGCGTGGAGAGTGCCGATTCATTTTTATTTCCTTGAAATTAAGGTGAATTACTATTCTATCGTAATCATGCATTGAAAAATTTTATATATATTTTTTAAACAATGAAACACGGAAAAACAAGAATATAAAATCATAAGACTTCAGTTTCTGTTCCGTTTACCTGTCAAACCAAAAAGGACTGTCCCATTACCTTCGTTGTTCACAAACTCACTACATGCACGTTACACACACATATACTAACTCCGTACCTCAAAGACCTCCTCGATCACTCTATCTTCCTGGTATCTGCATATTCTATTCTTACAGAGATGCACATTGTTGGATATTTTTAGTGCACTAATAATGTGTGTAGAAAGTTAACTAATTATTCATTCGATGTTAACTGATTACTGGATCTCATAGACATAACAATCATAAACATTACCACTCGTCCAATTAACATTGAGATATAACCCAATGCATACAAAATTTTAAAATCAAACCTATGACAAAGAAATAGTTTTAAAATTATGAAATAGTTGCTGAGATTGTATTCAACATAACCTGGTAAATCTAGTACTCTTGAAGTAAATAATTCTCGACTTGCTGAATTACTCGTAACTATTAATATTCGTCTTAGTATTTTTGTTTCATACTCGCACTTACTGCATTTTGGAAGTTTTACGACATATTTTCGGTCTAAATAAAAACAGAACAGATAAATAGCGATTAAACTTCTTGATATCAACCCTCTTCTTCTTTATGTTGCCCTGGTACATGCGGCCTGCCTAAAAAAAGCTAGGGAGGAACGAAATTTTGAAAATTTGTTTACAAATAGATATTGAATTTCATACAATCAATTACTTCTGTAAATTTATAAGGTCTCTACATTCACATACTAATTAACTTACAAATCCAGGTACTAAGCTGATTCTGCTGTTTACGGCTCAAAATGAAATTGTTACGGATCTTAAGCTCCTATGTAGCTTGATGTCCTAGTATTGTGTGGAATGAATATTCCCACGGACACATTTAATAAAATTATTTTGCGCCACAACAGCTTTAATTTTGAATGGAACATTCATAGTAGAAATAAGAATAGTCAATAGAACATAAATTGTTTATGCTCGTATGTTATATATATATGTTTTTAAGATAGCCCACCTTTTTTTCAATTAACTTCTTAGTTGTTATGTTGTCCTAGTACATTTGGCAACACCTGTTATTTCAAAAATGTGATTTTATTTTATTGTCAACCAAATCTGATGGCTACTTACTACTAACAAACTAACTAACTTACTTACACTACTTATTTTTTTCGTAAACAGCAGATTATTTTAATAATGAACCTTTTTTTTTAAACAACCAGTGTCCTGGATTAATTACTGATCTTTTGAAAAATAAAAATTGGGACTCGTGGATGTCCTCTTTGATTATTATTACACCGTAGTTTGGTGTTTACATAAAAAATATTAATAAAACATTAAATAAACAACACCACACATAAGACATTATCGATCTAACTCGGAAAATGCTAGGAGGCTTTTTTAATTTAAGCCCACTGAAAAATCAAACTATTGACACAGTTTTAATATTGAGTGACCACGACGAAAATTAAAAAAAAATTATATAAAAAAAATATTTTTTTTTTTATTTCATTTTATCCGTATTAAGAACGATTATGAGCTACGAGATCCATCTGTCGTTTAACTGAAGAACTAGGTTCATGAGCCGCTCTCTGTTCGAACCTCGATTCATCGCAATTTGGACCATAAACACGAGATGGAGTTTATATAAAAATGAACTCTCAAGTGGTCATTATATCCTAGTAGTACATATTTCTGTACAACCTCACAAAACCACGTCAGAGACCCGAGAAGCACTAGGATCTTATAACCTCATTGGAGTATTGGTAATATGGCTTCGGAAATCAACTTTTCCGGTTTCTTTCTATTCTACAACGTCTATCACATACCAGTCACGTAAAGAACTCTCGGTGATCCTACATTGTACAAAACGCGTGAGATGTCATCTATATCTACGAGTATACTTATTTATATACTAATATATAAACCTACAGTGGTTTTTACGCATGTTCCTTTATAACTACTGAACCATGCATCCGATTGAAGTATCCATGTAGAAAATACATGTACTTAATGGATAGACTAATAATGTTTATATGAGTGTTGGACACCCTAATAATAATGACAATGATAAATAATAATGTTAATTTTAAATGCCCAGCGAAGCGGGCGAGTACGGCTAATCATAAATATAAATAGATTTACAAATGGCAATTTCGTCATGTAGTATATGGTATATAACCCCTTGCAGTGCGCCTTGTGACCTATAGGAACAAAAATCAAACTCGCAGCTCTTTTTTAAAATAAGTAAAACACTTTTTTGTCAGGATTAGACTGTATAGATGTTGAAAATTGCATTGGTCCTAATGTTCCGCTTGCAGTGGCAAAAGCAAGGTCTTGGGGAACCCAGTCTCTCCGGGATATAGTCACTCTTGCCTTACAACGCAAAGGTGTTGTTGCTGCTGTTGTTTTTGTAGCTTGCAAATTTTGTGTATTGTTTGATATTTGATTGTTGATTGATGGGAGCTTAAAGTAACAGAAACCTGGTGAAGCAGGTCTTCTACGCCAAAGCACGAAGCAATTCAATGTATCTTCTTTCTTAGTTCTACCCTCGCCGTCTTCCTTTAAAAATTAACAATTACTTATATATGACTACAAGTGTATTTACTTAGACTACAAATACTCTAACTAGCTTAACTACTAGTGGTGATATTGCTGGTGCATTGATGCAAGAGTACAAAAGCGGTTTGATATAACTACAAATTTAAGTACCTAACGAAACTATACCTATTCCTAATTGTACCTAAAATTAACGAGAGTCGCAACGTGACACATATCGGCTATAGAGCCTTCGCCCTTTTTCCCAATACAACTTACAACAAATTATATTAGGAGGAAGGGTTGTATCGGGGCAAAAAGCCTATCCCCGAGTTTGACGAGAGGATCTAGTATCTATGTAGCTCCTTATGGTGCTTTCGCGGTCCTCTAAAAGAGAACCGTAGCCAAGTGCGGGGCTGACTGGGACTCAAACCTGCGGCAGCACTCATATGTCCCCAGCAACGAAACAGTAACAGAGGATCATTTAACTCTACACACTACGATGAAATATTCCACTACATAGATAATATTATACTTATAGATTTAGGCCAATCTATCAAAATAACAAACACAAGATAAAGAAGCCTTTATTAACAACCTTAATTCATATTTAGGTACATTTTTCTTTTCATTTGACATCGGCTAAGATTGTTTTGCTTTCGCATAGGCCTCCCCCAAATCCTGCCATAAGTTCCGGTCGTGGCATTTCTTCTTCCACGTAGAGCCAGCAACAGCTTTTATATCGTCTACCCACCTTTGGAACGGTCGTCCTTTTAATCTTTTCCCATCTCGAGGGTACCATTCAGTTACTAATTTAGCCCATTTTTCTGTTTTGCTTCTTATTAAATGACCTATCCATTTCCACTTTAATTTTTTAATTGTGTATGATACATCCGTTACTTTTGTTTTTATCTCTTTTAATCTCTTATATATCTTTTAATTTTATTTTATCCTTTCT